TGCCAATTTCCAAATACTTGTAGCCCGTAGCCGTCAAGTCGTAACGTCTGCTCAGTAAGCGCACCGCGCGACGCTTCATGCTGTGTAATGCAATTACGTTGTAAATAATGTTGAAAAACGTTTTTTTGTATACAGAATGTTGAAACTTACGCGTTACATTCCTTCTTCGCATCGTACGATGCGCTGCTTTCTTTGGTGGAGAACATTTTTTAACCGTTCTTACAAGCGGATATCGCAAGACTGATAGCATCCACGTAAATTGTGATGTATGAACATGATCTGAAATCGAAGAGGGGATAGCCTCCCCCTATTTCCAAGAATTGCGAACGTGTCGCGACACGTTTTATAACGTATTTCCTTTGTCCGCGAGTTTATCTATGTTTATACGTATATACATTATGGTTTATATTTTGATGACGTTGATGACGACGATGATGCTTTTTCCCCGGGATATTCCCAATATCTAACTTTTTCCTTCGATGATGATGCTTTTTCCCCAGGACATTCCGAATATCTAGCTTTTTCCTTCGATGGTGGAGGACTTGGTGGACTTTGTAACAAGCGACGATATCCCTTGTGCTCGATCGATTTTCCACGTATATATTCTTTTACTTTGTCCATGCCTTAACGCTCGTAACTGAAGCTTACGCATGAATGAAAAAAAAACTTTATACACTGTCTATATATACTGTCAGATCGGTAACATGTCACGATGCGTTTAAGAAAAGCGTCGATGTTTCGGATACGTACATTCTTACAGACGTTCATACATACGTTTTTACATTCGTACTTACGTTTTTTTTTTTTACGTCAAAGTTCGCAATGTCTTTGACCCATTGAAATTCAACGTATGGCAATGGTCGACACATCGCCCATCCATATAGATTGTTAACTTCGTAGTGCATTAAGTATGACGACGGTTTCGATGGGTCATACGAATACATATACTTGTTATTGGCCTGCGCGTATCTACCTGAACATTGACTGAGGCCGCCGCGTATACCGCGCTCAATGAACAGAACCATATCTATGTCGGTGAGAAGTTCAAATTTTGCATGTGTGTGTTTTAGCATGGCGTCCCATGTAAAACCGGGCAATGTATAGTAATGTGCAGGATCAAGACCATAACTCTCTACACAACTTTCGCGAAAATTTTCGAAAATATCGGCCAACAACAAGACATCGGTTTTCAAGTACAGATCACTCTACTCACCGAGCGTTTGGATGGAAAATCGCTGCCAGACGTTCGCGGCATGAGCGTAATCGCTCTCGGATACGGTATCGCCCGTCAAGGAAGTGTAAAATGATTCGCGAGGTGGTAAGCGCGTGTCCTGCAATTTTTCGACGCAGTCAACGTACTTATACGGAAATACGCCTTTTCGCGTGAGTAATTCAAATTCTTCGTTCGATAGTGTTGAAAATTCGGAACGTACGATTTTTAATTTATCCTTATCGAGATACGACGTCAATTTATCGAGGCTCGCACTTAAAAATTTGTAAGAATCTATAAACCGTATTTTTATATAATTTTTCTGAAAATTATTTTCATTTTTGTCTTTAGTACTATTTACATGTTTGGTAAACGATATGTATTTTTCCTTCGTTATCGGAAGGACATTTATTTGTCCTTCGTACACGCTAGCAATTTCTTTAATTATAAAGTGTGCGTCGTACCCCGATAAATTATGAAACACAACAGGAATATAAAAAGAATTTTTGTAATTAAGAGTGCAATTCGAATGTGCTGGACCACCGTATTTACCGGTGAGATGGCAATGATCGCGGACCAGCGTATCTTCCGGCGCGAATGATTTTTCGCAAATGTGACAACGCGTCGCGTTACGGTATGTCTCCCATTGCTGCTTAGACAACGTTTCCATAGGCACGTTGGCGGATACAATATCTTTCACGTGATGCGCCAAGTCTTGGAGTTGACGCGCGAACCACGCTATACAGTCTTCATCGCGACGGAACCGATACGACGATAATGCGTCGTCGTACGAGCAACGTACGTAGTAGCCTATACTACATACCTCGTGCTGTTGATATGTATATGACGCGTTTTCCTTGTTGGGTTCCGTCTTCCGCAGAACACACTCCAAGTCGGCGTAGACGATGAATGGAATGCGCTCCTTATTGCAGTTGTTGCCGAATTCGAGCCATTTGTCGTCCTCGCTCGGCAGTCTGATGGCGCAATCGTTCATTTTTCCGCAGTCTACTGTGTGCAACTGCAACTTTTCGGCTGAACCGAAGTAGTGCAGACATCTGAAAGAGAAAAAACGTATAAATTATTACTAATATTGTTATTGTTATTTTAAGATTATAATTTTTTTTCATGTATACTTATCGGTCGCAGAACAATTTCTTGTGTTCCTTTTTCGAGATTTGAGAGCTAACGAGATGCGACAGATTTTTTATCCACGCAAAGTGGCCGAGACTGTCGTCGTGTGGATCTTGGAGATACAGCATGTTCACGTGCTTCTTCTTTTTATCGCCTGTGAGCCGTAGAGGAAGGATCTGCTTATCTTCGATGCCATACACGTTGATCGACATCGCGTTCAATCGTTCAAATTTTTTAATGTCTTTTAAATTCATCGGAAACTCGATACCCGCGAGATTCAGCACTGTTGTATAATGTGGATACGATGACTTTCGTTCCGTATGCTTTGCAGTCGGGTGCAGAGCGGCGATCACCGACCACGCGAAACACGCATTGTCCATCGTACACACACTGATCACCGCTCGTTTCATTGCTATTTCCCGCGGCACTTTGATGTGGCATCTCGCGCGCATGGGATTTAATTTATTCACGTTCACTGTCAAGTTGGGGATTTGTGACAATGCCCATCCGCTGTCGCGTTCTTGGAACTCTTCGAGCGACGCCAACGTGGGCTCGATGACGTGTCGCTCGTACCACTCGCGCAAATCGGTGTATCGGTATATTTCAATATTCTTAGTGTTTATGCTCTTAGGCCCATTTTCACAATATGTGATTAACCAAAAGGTCAAATTAACCATAACCTGAAAGTTAACTAATCGTACTCTTTCATAAGCTTATGGTTAAATAAACTAAAGGATACATGTACTTTTATAGGGTTGGCATCAGTGGTTGCGTTCAACAGACAATAATTCGGCTAAAAAGAACAAATCTTAGGTTAGGAGTGCTCTTGATTTATCAGATATTTGCGAAGTTTGGAGGTCTTATGATTATTAGCAAAAAAACGCATTTTTCGAGTATATAAGTGATTTTACGATAAGTGATTTTACTTGATATTCAATATTTCATACATTTCATAGAAAATTAAAATTTATGAAATATAATAATTTCTGCAATGGTGAGTAATCAATTCATGTAGCAAAATAACGTTAAATTTATCGTTGTTATGATGTTAAAACATTATGTACATATATCTTTGATGATATTTTGATGTTAAAAAAATAAATAACGACAGTTTGCTACTTGGATAGTTTAATATAATAACGTATTTAATAATTAACTACGTTTATTATATGGGTTTGAATAATATGTTATACTTGTGTCATTATAATATAACCTCAATTTGTCATTGCAGTCTCACACAATCCCAGAAAAAAATAATGCAGGAAGATAAACGAGCACCAAATTTTTCAAAAAACGAAGAGCAACTTTTAATCGGTCTCGTTGAAAAATATAAGAACATTATAGAATGTAAAAAAAGTAATGTCTTAACCTGGAAAGATAAAGAAAAAGCATGGTTGAAAATTGAAATGGAATTTAATAGTAAAAATAATGGCAATACTTTTAGAAGTGCAAAATATTTGAAAGAAAAATTTAATAATTTAAAAAA